CCGCTGTCCGATGGCCCTCCACTATGATCCGAAACACCCACCTCCTTCATTGTTGTATACCATCTCCCAATGTGAGTAGGGTGCATCTCATCCGGCGGTCTGTCCGCTGGATCGACATTCCTCTGCTACAATCCGACCCCCCCTCGGCTTTACAATTGATATGCTAGGATAGCACGCTACTTCAAAGGGACTCTTCCGGCGGCCCCTCCGCTGCACAGATGATGCTCAATTATAACTCCAATGCTGTTGTCACTTCACTGTTTGCAGCATAAACAGCCACTGTTTGTTGTCCACTGATCATCCGGCGGACTCTCCGCTGATCCGAACCATCTCCATGGTGGGCCGACCGTCCGCCCGCTCGAGCACCATGGGGGGGTCCAAAGTCCGCTCCATCGAGCTCCCTCGTCCGGGTGGTGCTTCATGCCCTGCGCAAGTAATTGTCGGACGGAAGTTGGACAAGATCTGTGTTTGATCAGGGCCCACACCATCTCGGCGAGCTCCGGCTTTATCCATTGCTTCAATATACTCTTGTGCAGTGCATGACAGCCGTACTGCAGTGAGAATGTTAGTAAATGCACTGCAAGGTCCCAAAGATAGGAGCTCATACCTATCCGAGTATTGGCGTATCCGACCTCATCTGCAACCTTTTGGCATTCAAATGCCACCATAGGTGACAATGTTCCGGACACGGGTGCGTCGGATCTATTGTGCAGCCATTGCTCACCGTATGAGACTATGGCATCGACAAAAGCGAGCACGTCGTCGGAAGATAGATAATGGTAATCCTGGTCGGATAGCATCCGGCAGCGATGTTGGCGGATCTTAGTGATATGGATATGTTGGATAGATATTGCTGGTGTGCGGGGGGTATATTGAGACACGTCGCATCCATGACTTCTCATGGTGGTCTATTTAAATCACCCTTCCGGCGGAACCCGAGCACGTGTTCAATCTGACAATGTAACCCTCGAACAATAGTAGACAAATATGTACAAAGTGTGTGCCCATTGTTACCATTTTCCATTCTTCCCGCCTGTCTCTAGCCATCATGTCTGCACCAACAACTCCCACTCTCCCCGACTTCCTGTCCTCGATGGAGTTGCAGCCGGGGTGGGAGCACGACACAAACATCCTGTGCCTTGTATTGCTCATTTTTGAAGGCCGCATCCGTGCCGGCCTCGCTGTTAGGGATGAGGTCGACCTCGCTGACTGGGTGGGTGACTGGGTGCCAATGATCGTGAGTAGTATGTACGATTTTGTCGATTCCTCTTGTCAATTTATTATAGTCGAGCATGTACTCGGTTGTCGACTACGCAAGGCACCACCCGGACATCAGTATCTCCGAGGTTGTCAACGTTGCTCTTGCTGCGAACCCCTTGGACGAGACCTTCCCCCTGTCGAAAGCCGATCTGGTCCGAACAGCTCCGAACTTCGACCCACCCGCGTACATTGGCGAGAATTGCTGGTGGGAAGACTTCTCATCCGACAGTTCCTCATCCGATGACTCGCCCTCGGAAGGGGCAATCCCAACGGCACCCGCGCCGGAGCGTGGGCCGCGCCTTGGGCCTGCCCCTGTCACACCTCCGGCCCCCTCCCCATCCGGTCATGTCGGCGGCAACACAAAGCGCCCTCGGAGCCAAGAGGCGGAAAGCGATTCGAGTGCACCATCGGAGCCTCCACGCCGTCCGACGGGAAAAAAGCCAGCAACTCACCAAGACAAGGGTAAGCAAAAGGCAGTTCTGACACAGCCATCTAGTGGAGGTCGAGGCAGTACGTTTCTCTTTAAACTAGTCATATGCACGCATTAATGCATCATCAAGCGCGCCGCAGTACAAGGAAGCGGATCACACACACGCCTGCCGCACCCTCGAATCTATCCGGACCCGGTGATGTCAGCACGACACCCGATCAGGGTCACCGTCTTGACGGAGCAATCCTCCAGGACTTGCAAAGGGACATGGACCTCATCCGGGTTCGTATTGCAGGGATCACAGAGCGGGTAGCAAAGCTGGCCTCAAAGGAGCAGGTGCAAGACATCAACACTCAAGTTGCGGCACTCGCTGCTAAGCAGGGGGAGATCTGGAAGCTGCTCCATCCGGAGAGCCAGCAATCCGACGGCGATGGCGATGACGAGGACATGGACGCCAATGCCGGACGGCAGTGAGGGTTGGAGAGTGAAATGTTAACGTACAAGTATCTTCTGCTAGCATGTTAGTGAATAGTATGTTGCGAAATGGAAGGTTCTGTATCCCAATCCTGCCGAAATGCACTGCAACATATGGTGTGTATCCTTATAAGTTCTCTTTAGCGGCATCTGGTAAGGTATAGCCCAAGGCCTTCCTAATAGTGTACCCGACACGAAAAGAATGTCCGGTGCTACAGTGGTAAGCGGGGAATGACTAGTACATCGTCCGGCTACTTGTACGCTGGTGAACCGTTCTCTCATATTATCCTACTATATCGTCCGGCTATATGTCCGCTGTTCGATGGCTCTCCTCTGACATATTATACACCTAATGCCTACATTTACTGAACCTTGAGTTGCCATTATAGTCTCGGGTGCTCGTCCACTGGTTGATGGTCCGCAGATATCATTTTCTATGCCCGAATGCTTCCATTTATTGCACAATGTGGCATTGGTATATCCTCCGGCTACCTCTGCGCTGTCGTCGATGGCTGTCTAAGGCTGTAATCTCACAATATACCGTCCGGCATCCTCTCCGCTGCGCGATGCACATGTTGCAGGGGACGCCGACCGAGGAGGTCGGTAGCTAGGATGGCCATTGGTGGCGAGAAGGTCGGGCCAGTGGACGTCCGCTGATGACGGAGGAGGTCACGTCCGCGGACGGCATAAGTATAAGTAGAGTTCACTACAATAATATTAGTAAAGACTTGTAAGTAGCACAATCCCCAGTGGAGTGTCGGCGTGCGGGTCGGCGTCCCGCTCATGGGGTTGGGACTACAATTCCAGCTAGTGCTACATTGATCGGTAAATGGAGTGTAGCAGTGCAATGAGCGGCATCAGATGATTAGCGGCGTCCACTAGGAGGTCGGGTCAGAGGATGAGATCAGTGCATTGCAGCCACGCACAAATATGAGTGTCACTACAACATTATTGGTGAAGATTTGTTGACGGCCCAGCGGTCCAGGCAATGTCGGCGTGAATACGGAGGTCGGGTCCACGGACGCAGCCAACGTGTGTATCCTATAACATCCATTGCTACAATGTTCTATTGCTAACGGTGATGGTCGGCGTGCACCCAGATGGCAATGCTCGTGTCTGCTGATGGGATCGGCGTATCG